GTGTCTCGGTCCAGCTCTTTTTTCTTTTTATTTTTTTTTTTTAAATGACTTTTAACAATAAGCGAGGTGGAAATGAGACGAAGGAGTCTGGAATTGACACAGAGAGAGAAAGTTGTCGTTTCCTGGTATGAGGTTGATTGCCACGGTCGAGTCCAGCTCTTTTTTTCTTTTTTTTTTTTTTTAAAAAATGACTTTCAACAATAAGCGAGGTGGAAATGAGACGAAGGAGTCTGGAATTGACACAGAGAGAGAAAGTTGTCGTTTCCTGGTATGAGGTTGATTGCCACGGTCGGGTCACCAGAAAAAGCTCTCGGAGGAGTAGGTGATTTAATGCAGCCTCAGAGTTAAGGCTGCCCCTGTTGCCTGGGCTTCATCTGAGTTTTGGTTTTATTTTTTTGGTTTTTTGGGGGTTTTTTTTGCCTTTGCAAATGCAAAACCTGCTTTTGCATCTCGCAGCCTGCCGGGATGCAGGTGGAGGCGTAGGGCTCCCCGATGCTCCCCAATTGCCCATCTCTGCCACACGTTGCCAGGTGTCCAGATAGTTGTGAGGAGCTTCTCAGTTCTTAGAAAAAAAAAAAACCAAAAGCCCATGGTTTTAAGAGTTTCACACCAAGCTTTTCAGATGAGCCTCCTCGTTATTAGACACCTGGAAAATGAATGGGCCTAAGCAAATGAAGTGTCCCAAGTCCTAGTGAGAAAAGTACCTAAGTCCATTAGGCGATTCTGAAAGCATGAATTTAAACGCAGACCTAGAGGTGGTTTCATCTTCAGAAATGTAAAATAGCCCTCACCTTCTGTGAAGCCCCTCTGAGCTGCAGGTGTTCAGTGTTCCCCTTTAAAGAGTGTAAATAAAAGCTGATGGTGCCTGGTGCCTTGCAGGATCAGCCCGTTAATGACAGAAAGGAATAAAACCTTTGGTCTGTGAAATTAACTAGAAAAAAACCAAAAACAAACAGAAACAAAACCAACAAAAACAATCTGAATTTTCTATGTTGCCACAAAGCGATATGCAGTATGTGGAGATGTGCTCACAAATCAAGGGGTCTGATTTCTTGCTCTCGTTATGCTTAATGTTAGGTGTGAGTCTGTTGGAACAGAACTGTTGCAGACCCATGGTGGTCTATCTGATGCTGGGGTTTTAGGATAGGATAGGATAGGATAGGATAGTTGGAGTTGGAAGGGACCTTAAAGATCATCCAGTTCCAACCCCCTGCCCTGGGCAGGGACACCTCCCACCAGACCAGGTCGCTCAAAGCCCCATCCAGCCTGGCCTTGAACCCCTCCAGGGATGGGGCAGCCACAGCTTCTCTGGGCAGCCAGTGCCAGTGTCTCACCACCCTCACAGCAAAGAATTTCTTTCTGGTATCTAACCTAAATCTCCCCTCTTTTCAGCTTAAAACCGTTACCCCTTGTCCTATCACTACAAGGATAGTTTGGCTCAAGGTATTTAAAATACACTGTGGAAAGTGGCTTGGTCATAAGCACGCTGCTCCTGGGGGTCAGGATGGATGGCATTGGTGACAGTGACTGTGTTGAAGTGCTGCCTGCCTGCCATCCCTGCCGAAATACCCTGCACAGCTGCATTGGGTGATGTGGTTTCAGGTCCCTGTAGCCACCTCTATCTCCCGTCCCTCAAGGCTGGCGTTTCATTTCTACATGTCTTAATTAACCCTGGTGAGGAAGGCGTCAGCACGCACCGGATGCTGTCTCTGTGTGTGCATTTGATGAATTCTGTAAATATGGAAGTCGGTGGAGAAGAACGGGCTTTTTGAAATTGTCACTGGCAGTTTTTGGCTCAGAAACCAAGGGTTGGGTCCCCTTCTTAGTTGTGGCTGCGGGGCTTTTATGTTTGGTGGACGTATTTTCTCCATCCTGCCTGAAAATTTAAGGTCTCTAAATGTATTTGGGTCTCTCTTCTTTTGGTTTTGAATGCCATTGTGTGAGAAGCTGTGTGACACATTATTTTTCTTGGCCCTTTAAAAGTTGATGTTAAAAATACGCACACCAGCCTAAAAGAGGCTATTCCTTGCCATGCGCGTTAGGGGAGCTTCCCGCTGGGACCGCTTAAGTCTGTCTTTTAAATTTTATTTATTTTTTTTTTTTAAAGCTGGGTTCCAAAGGCTGGTCTGAGCCTTTATCTTGCCCGTTCGGCCTGGGCTGTGGATCTCCAGCAGACTTCAGCTTTCAAATTTCACCCGAGTCGTGCGTTAGATTTTAAGAGGACTGCCGGGTCTGTGGTACTGTTCACAGCAGTAATAATTATCCCTGCTATTTTGGTTTGGTTTTTTGGTTTTTTTTTGGTTTACCTATTTACTTTTAGCAGAAGATCTCAAGGCACTGGTTCTGCGGGCAGCAGATGCTGCTGTTGCACCTCATCTGCAAAGCCCACCCTGGTCCCCTGCCAAGGGTGTCTGGCTGCGTGGTGGGGACCAGCTGGAGGTGGCACCCAGCTGTGATGTGTCACCAGCACCAAGCCACCAGCACCCTGGGCCTGGAGGCTGTGGAAGGGCCCGTGGGACATACGTAGAAGAAGAGTGTGGTGCCAGGGACATCACGTTCCTCTGGAGCTGGAGGAAGCAGTGATGGGGTTGGTTGACGTTGCCTTCAGGGCGCTGCTTAGACCCTGTCTCTGAGCTCATTTCTGACATGGAGAAGGTCTGACTGCTGCTGTACCACTTTGGGTATGGTTTTGTTCCCCATGAAGAGTGAGAGGGAAGTTGGTGGTGGTGGCGGCGGTGGCGCTGAGCGGTGAGGCCGTGGGGCAGCAAAAAGGGGGACTCATTTTGGGAGGAGGGGGCTCTGATCCCCCCAAGATGGGTTATCCTAGGGTTAACCCAGGTTATCCTTTGTCAGAGTAGCATCTCTGTCTCCAGAAGTTCTCACCTGCCTTGTTGTTTGGAATAATCTGGTTGGTTTTGGCCGCGCTCCGGTGTCATTTAATGGCCCTTCCCCAGTGCATGGCCGGTCTCTGGGGGCGGACTGGAGAGCGAGTTCAGAAGGTGGTGTGTTGAGGTGTTCCTCACCCTTCCTGCCCATTACCCGAGGTGACATGCATCTGCTGGAACAGCACAGAGTGGCTGCCGCGCTGTGAGGAGGTCGCGTTCGTTTTTCCTGGGAGCCGATGCCAGCAGGGAAAGGTGAGCAGGGCATCACCAGAGGAGGAGGATGACACCAGAGAGGGCTAGGCTGATAAGAGAGATAAGAGAGCTGATAAGAAAGAGAATAGCTGCTGCCTTGGTGCCACCTGCTTTGGGGAGCTGGAGGGGGGGGACACATGACTCGTTTGCATCTGCAGCGCTCCCAGGGGAGCGGGTCCTGTTGGGAATAACAGCTGCAGTAATTAGCAAAGGCTTTTCTGTATCTCCTTAGGGAAGGTGGGCAGGGATGAAGGGTGAATCATAGAATCATAGAACTGTCTAGGTTGGAAGGGACCTTCAAGATCCTCTAGTCCACCCATCAACCTAACTCTGACAAAAAAACCATCACTAAACCATGTCTCCCAGCACCGTGTCAACCCGTCTTTTGAACACCTCCAGGGATGGCGCCTCAACCCCTTCCCTGGGCAGCCCATTCCAAGGCTTGATAACCCTTTCAGTGTAAACATTTTTCCTGATGTCCAGTCTGAACCTCCCCTGGTACAACTTGAGGCTTTTTCCTCTTGTCCCATCACCTGTGACTTGGGAGAAGAGACCAACCCCTGCTTCTCCACACCCTCCTTTCAGGGAGTTGGAGAGAGCGAGAAGGTCTCCCCTCAGCCTCCTTTTCTATAGGAAGAGGGTGGGTGTTATGTTCCTCCTGGGGGAGGAAGGGGATGAGCTCCCCACATGGACCAGCTGTGGCCAGGGGAGATGGCAGGGTTTCCATCTGTCCTGGGGGAAAGCGCCGCTGCCGTAAGAAAGCTCAGGGAAGGCTGATGTTCTCCAGCTTGGGGCTGAGAGGAGCCTGTAGAACAGCAGTGCCCAAGCTCAAAGTGGGGTGAGGCAGGGGTGGCCTCCTGCAGGCTGGTTTTGGGGTGCTGGCTCCCCGTAGATGGAGGCACACCAAGTGGTTCCCCCGCGCTGGGTTCAGGGACCCCATGGGTGTGAGTCTGTGGGGTGGTCTGTCACCTTCCAGGTTTTTCACGCTGGCTGTTTAGCTCTACTCTTGCTTTTATGCAGGCCCGGAGATGTTAAGTGGTGGGGCGGTTGGCCCCGGGGTGCGCTGCAGGCCATGGTGTGTGCCATAACCAGCCGTTTCGGCGGAATTTCAGCTGTCGCGGGGCAGCGAGACATCCGTGTTTATCCTTCACCTGGCCTCTGCCAGTTGGGCCGGAGGATAAGTGGTCCCAGAAGCCAGAGCAGGTCAATAGATCCGTGGCGTTCCAAAATCCTAGTTAACTGGAACCAGTTGGAAACTTGCTGTAATGGAAATTTCGGTTGTGTATCATTTTTTTAACAGAATGCAGTTGATGGCGTTCTCCGCTTTAGTCTGCCTCCTTTTTTTTTTGTCTATTCCAACTTTTCCAAGGAGGGGATGGGGCTGACTTACGTAAAAGCGCCTGCAGCCTCTGAATGCTGAAGCACCGTCGTTGGGAGACTCATTTTTTTGCTCCGAAGGGTTGCATAAGAAGAGCATCCTCGGAGCAAGCTCCATCCATGTGTATCCCCCTCACGAGATAACTTGTCTGGTGCTGCTCAGTTGGTAGCACCTTCAAGGATGCTGGTCTGCAGCTTCTCCCCTCGCTTAGCACGCTGGTGGGCTCAGCTGCTAAGGAGAACTTGCTTTTTGTGTGTTGTGCCGTGCCCCTCCACTCCAGCTCGGTATGTTACCAAGTCAGTATATTTGTGCAGCACTTCATGTCATTCTTTTTTTTTGTGTTTGTTTGTTTGTTTTCCAGAACACTATAATTACGCATCTTCCAACGTAAATGCTGGCTTGCCTCTCAATGTGGCACATTCCTCATTGTCAACTCCATGTCATGGCCTTCAGACATCAAATCCCGTCATTTCCGTTGTCCCATCAACAAACCATCCTGCTGGATACGGAGGACACATCGACGGTGGGGCCTCCGAGTATTACCTGCCTCCAAACATTAGACCTAATGGAGCCCCAGCGCTGGAGAGCCCTAGAATTGAGATCACTTCTTACATGGGACTCCATCATAACAACAACCAGTTTTTCCACGACGAGGTTGAGGAGGCCATCCCGAACACCAAGCGGTCGCCTTCCACTGCCACTTTGAACTTACCCAACATCGAGGCGTACAGAGACCCGTCCTGCCTGAGCCCGGCGAGTAGCTTGTCTTCCAGAAGCTGCAACTCCGAAGCGTCTTCCTACGAGTCCAACTACTCCTATCCGTACACTTCACCCCAGACCTCTCCCTGGCAGTCCCCGTGCGTCTCGCCGAAGACCACCGACACCGAGGAAGGCTACCAGCGCAGCATGGTGGCCTGCACTTTGCTCAACTCCCCGAGGCACTCTCCGTCCACCTCTCCCAGGACGAGCATCACGGAGGAGAACTGGCTGGGGGCTCGCAACTCCAGGCCTCCATCCCCCTGCAACAAGAGAAAGTACAGCCTCAACGGCCGGCAGACCTCCTACTCCCCACACCATTCCCCCACCCCTTCCCCACAAAACTCGCCCCGGGTGAGCGTCACGGATGAGACCTGGCTGGGGAACACCAACCAGTACACCAGCTCGGCCATCGTCGCTGCCATCAACGCCCTCACCACCGACAGCACGCTGGATATGAACGATGGGATCCCCATCAAGTCGAGGAAGACGGCCATTGACCACACGCCGTCCATGACCCTCAAAACCGAGCCGGCTGGTGAGGACCACGGGACCATATCGCCGACTGCCGATCTCTCGCCAGAAGACTTCTCCGGCTTCCAGCACATCAGGAAAGGGAACTTCTGCGAGCAGTATCTGTCCGTGCCACAGCATCCCTATCAGTGGGCCAAACCAAAGTCTCTGTCTCCGACATCCTACATGAGGTAAGGGACGCCGACTTAGAGGGAAATCCTGTTAATAATCTTTATCGCATGCTTTTTTTTTTCCTTCCTTCCTTCCTTCCCTTTCCCATCTCTGCTTCCCACCGCATCCCTCCATCCATTCATTCCATTTTAGCTGTTCCTTGTGACACTGATATGGTGTGGTGTGACCATGAGTAAAACCTTGAAGGGTTAAAATGCCTGTCCTAGGAGTCGTCCACGCGTGGGTTGAGGCTGGTTATGCGCTTCCCAGGGGACGAGCTGCAGCTTGGGAAGTCTGGAAATAGGGTATTCAGAAGCTCGTCAGGCAGCAGGACAATTTGGTACCATCAAACCTGTGGCTTTACTTAAATCGTTCGTGTCTTAATATGTTTTTGTTGCAGGACTAAGAGATCTCCCCATTATTGTGGCTGTTACAAGGCCTTTTACATTTACGCTTTATAGGCAGTGAATAGAAAGAGAATAGGAATGTGGTTCTTTTGTGCATTATTTCAGCTTTTACTTCGCTTCCCCTGAAAGCCTCTTACCAATCTTCTTTTCCTGTCTGCGTGGGACAGTGATTTTCTCCCCCCCTCACACCCTTCCCCACCATTTTTTAGGCTTAAAGAAGAAAAACTTATTTGTCAGATGATGATATACTAGTCACATTTATTTATCGCAAGACGACTCCAGGTGGGAAGCACCACAGAACAGCCAGAATTTGAGTTACATCCATTGCTTTCTCTTTCAGTCTCAGTTATGGTCTTTATTTTGGTGTCTTCTAAAGGCTGTGTGTGCGGTGGCACGTGGTGCAGGAAAAGAGCTGGGCTTTCTGAAAAATTTTTGCAGGCTGATTCCAGTCCCTGGTTGTGATGGCCACCCCCATCCTCTTCCTCCCCAAGCACTTCTGGCTTCTTGCTTTTGGTAGCAAAGGTGTCTTCCTCAAAATGAAGATAGTGGGGCATGTAGCTGAAATGCTTTAATTAGTGATACTTCCCTGGCTCTCAGCCTTGTCAATCTCACTTTTCTCCAGCCAGCACCTCTCTACCACGTGATGTCTCCCAAAACTGAGACAGAGCCATCCATGGCCCTTTGTGTTAAGAGCATGTAGTGCTGTGGTTCCCTTCCTCATCTTCACTTCACCTTCCTCCTCTTCCTTCTCCTCTCTGTGTTGCCCAAGCTCTGTGCAGGACTCCGTCCAGCACTGGGAGAGGCAGCAGCCCCTTTGGATCTGGCCAAGTCAGTCTTTTAACACCAGGCAAATCCTTTAGAGCCTTCCTGTGTGTTTAAAAAAAAAAAAAAGCAAGCCTTTTATGTTTAAAAGTTTGGAAGTTACAGAATCACAGGATCACATGGGGTTGGAAGGGACCTCTGGAGATCATCTCGTCCAACCCCCTGCCAAAGCAGGTCCACCCAGAGCAGGTTGGACAGGAATGTGTCCAGGTGGATTTGGAATGTCTCCAGAGAAGGAGACTCCACCACCTCTCTGGGCAGCCTGTTCCAGGGCTCTGCCACTCTCAAAGTGAAGAAGTTCCTCCTCATGTTTAGATGGAGCCTCTTATATTCAAGTTTGTTGTTCCTCTTGTCCTGTCACTGGGCACCACTGAAAAAAGACCAGTCCCAGTCTCTCCCCATGTTCTCCCACCGAAGTGCCAAGCAGCTGGTGTTCATCAGAGGGGCTGGTCGTAGGCTTTGGTGTCGGGGGGTGGTGGGCTGCTTTTCACCGAAGACTTCGAGGTGCAATAATAGGACAGTTTGGCCAAACAGGCTTTTATCTCTTTATCTCTTGGTGGCAGCAAGTGCCCCATAGGTACTTCATCAGGAGGCACCCAGCGTGCTTGTGGGCTAACACAAACAAGGAAGGTGAAGTGTACAAAACGGAGACACCACCCCCCCCAGCAACATTGTGTATTTAACATTTTTTTCTTTTTTTTTTTTTTTCCACTGTTTTGGTCTTGTATAAAATATGTTTCCTGGTTCGCAATATGTTTCCATGTGATCTCATTAACTCGTGCTCCAGGGCAGTTGGAAGTTACTGTCGAAATGTGATTTTTAAGTTATTTTACCCATCAGATAGACTGACCGTGCTTCCTTCCACCAAAAATACCTCTCGTTTTATGTATATGGAAGCGCCGGGCAACTGAGCACGGACGTCAACAGGATCCCAGCCTACGCAACAGAAACTATGTTATTTTAAATCTTTCCAAAAAAATTGGTTAAGAATTTGTCACAACAGAGCTGGATTTTTTTTTTTATTTTTTTTTTTTCCTGTTATTTTACACATCTGTTCTATTTCAAACGCGAGGGCTGCAGGGGTGGGTTCCAACAAACAACTCGGGCTCCAAAAAAAATCTACCCGCTCTCGTAATGATTTGGAGATAACTAGATCTGATTACCTCCTCTGGCTCTCCCCCCGACGTGTGGTGTGGTTGTCACCAAAAGCCAGCGTGCCCTGGAAAATCACTGATGCTTTTCTCTTCCCCTCTTGGCGTTCCCATCTCTCTGGGGGTGGGAGGGAGCAGGATCAGGCAGAGGGGTGCTCTCTTTTTTCCTGGGATTTTATAGCCGGCACGGGTCTAAATGGGAAACTGCTTTTTGGGTATTGTTTTTAAAATTGATGGTGTTTTTCATTTGTGGTAATTAGAGCTCAGTCCCCTTTAGGCTTTTCAATCAGGCTTTTCAAGTCCCAGAGCAAGGGAATAATAAGAGTATATAATAAAAGTATAATAATGCCTGCCTTAACAGAGAGACAGTCTTTCCATGCCCTCTGCTTCTCTTGGGGGCTTACGAGGGCTGGGGGCTTTTGGGCACAGGTTTGGGCTCACACACACACCCCCCCTCCCCGAGGGCTTTGGTGCCTCGTGCCGAATCTTTTTGGGTAGGAAATACTTAGAGAGCAGGCAGAGGTTTTTTTCAGGGGAAGCTGCGGAACAAACCCTGCGGCGGCGACGGGAATCGTGCCGTTTCCCGACCAAAAAGAGTTGCCTAAATGTAGCAATCTGCCTCAAAAATTAGAGTAAATCATTACATGGGGAGTGAAGAGATGGTCTTAGTGAAATTCTGCTTTAGTTTTTAGCTCCAAGGTATTTTTCTTTTTTTTTTCTTCCAGTATTTATGCATTGAACTGTCTCAGTCAAATGTAAGGAGTTTCTGTGGTTCCTCTTTTGTAGTTAACGTAGCAAATAGTTTAAAAAGGAGCTCTCTCCCGGGCAGTTACTGTGTGAGCAGGTGATGCTCGGTGTTTCTCCAGCCTTTGCTGCCTCCGTTGGGTTCCTTTCTGGGGCGTTTCTCCACCAGCCCTCAGAGCTGTGTAACAGAGAACCTCTCATGGGCAAAAAATGTCAATCAAAGCCAAAATGGAAGTACAGCTCTGGGCTTCTGCCCTCGGGGATGGAGGCAGCATCAGTGACTATTTCCAAAACTGAAATCCCATTTTTATTGTTTGCCCGCTCGTTAGCATCTCCCAGTTCATCCCATATGACAACAAAAAGTATAGGCCCTCATGAAAATGCCGAATTTCTGAGTATCTTGCATTTTTTATGACTTCCTCTGCAGCCTCTGCGTTTGACTAGTATAGGCCCTCGTGAAAGTGCCGGATTTCTGAGTATCTGACATTTTTTATTACTTCCTCTGCAGCCTCTGCGTTTGACAAAGCGCAACCTGAAATTTCCTAGAGACAGTTTCTTACTCGTTGAAAATTAACGCAGTGTAGTTATTTCCAGTGTCATCAGTTTGATGCAAGAAGCGTGCTGGCCTCTAACCCTTGAGTTTTCATTAAATGTAGTGGGGTTTTTT